GAGTTGGGTCCAACTCGACTGCACATAACAACAACAACAACACAATTTCAGTTTAGTTAAAAGTCAGTAAGCAAAGTGGAGTAGGTCTTGAGGAGAAGCAGCAATAGTTTTGGAAGTGTATTGGCCTGAGGGTAAGTCCTTACAGGCTCTTAAGGCAAAGTAGGATAACCTCTTCAGATGGTAGAAAAGCTGTTTTCACTGGTGAAAAAGACTCAGCAGAATTTAGGGGTTTAGCGTTGCCTTCATCTGGATCTGTCCAAACCTAAAAAAACCTGTTGCCGTTGAGTTGATTCTGACTTGGAGACCCAATATGACAGAGTAGAGTTGTCCCATAGGGTTTCCAAGGCTATATAATCTTTACAGATGCAAACTGCCTCATTTTGCTCCTATGGAGTGGCTGGTAGGTTTGTGAACTGTCAACCTTTTGGTTAGAAGCTGAGCGCTTAATCACCACCACCAGTGCTGTTTAGGTCCATTATGTCACTCTTCTTTCATTTAGAGTCCCATTTCTTTGTAATCAGTGCTCTCACTTTAACAACAGACACTCTGCCAAGTTGGGAATTCAATTTGCATTGTAATCCAGCCCCTCAGGTTTGGTTTCAGCATCTCAACTCTGCAGCTACATGAGATAAACATTTCTTTTAGAGCAGATATAAAAACTTTTAGGTCATTTATGTGGCACTTGAGCTAGGAATTGGAAACCCTGAACTTATTTCACTTTTTTAACTCAGGAACAACCAACCAATGTCACTTGTACTTGTTTGACAGAAATGTTCTAAGTTATCAAATACATAAGTCATCCAGAACCTTGTCTCATCAATATTTGGATAGGAGTGTCCAGTGGTGTTACTTAATCTTCATTGCTGTATCATGCTATGGACTAACACTGCCCTCTAATCAGCTATTAGAACATATTCCAGTAACCCCAGAACAAATTCAGAAAACTTACCTTTAAGATGTCTGTTCCTCTAAAACTGCTTTTGGTACAGAATCTTTTATCAGTCAGGGTTATCCAGAGAAACAGAATCAGTGGCAGATAGACACACACACACACACATACATTAAAATATTTTAAGGAATTGACTCACGTGATTGTGGGTACAGGAAAGTCTGAAATTTGTAGGGCAGGCTAGAAGCACAAGTAGGAGTTGATGTTGCAATCTTGACGCAGAATTTCTTTTCTGAGAAACCTCAATTTTTGCTCTTTAGGCCTTCAGATGAACGGATGAGGCTCACTCACTTTGGTGGTAATCTTTACTTAAAGTCAAATGATTGTAGGTAAATCACATCCACAAATACCTTCACAGCAACACCTAGATAATGTTTGATTAAGTAGCTGAGTACTGTACCCTAACCAAGGAGCTCTGGTGGTGTAGTGCCTAAGGAATTTGACTGCTAACCAGAAGGCTGACAGTTCAAACCCACCAGCCACTCCTCAGAAAGAAGGTTGGGCAATCTACTTCCGTAGTGATACCACCTTGGAAACCCAAGGAGGGGTCACTGTGAGTTGAGTCCGACTCGATGGCACATAACAACGACAACAACACACCCTAACCAAGTTGACATATCAAGTTAACCTTCACGTTCCAAACTAAACCCACTGTTGTAGAGTTGATTCAGACTCATACTGACCCTGCTGGAAGGGACAGAGCTGCACCATAGAGTTTCCAAAGTAGGAGGTGGAACATTGTTTTGTGTAATATGTTATGCCAGTTGAGCTTGATGTCCCTTGCGACTATGGTCCTGAGCCCACAGGTCCAACTACTCCCTTCCTCTGGGTAGCTGGCTGTGCCTAAGAAGTGACTACAACCTTGACCTTTGTCAGCTCTACTATATACCTGGGAATTCTTACAGAACATAGCAATATACTTGTAGAAACACTGTCTGCCAGCCATGTACGTGGTCTTGGGCACACTCCCCCCTGCACAGACATACCTAATAGTTCAGCCTGTCCACCCATCTATCCATGTTTGCCTTCACTGACAACACAGTACTGTATGTGCAAAAGGGTTTATTTTTATTAACTGTACCTCCCATGTACTTCTCTGTGTCTTCCTCTTCCTCAGTGCCAGCATGTTGATCACTCACATTTGGTACATTGCCCTTCTCTTCACCTCTACCTATCTAACTGTTCCCTCCCCTCCCCTCCCACCCCTGGTAACCAACAAAGAAAATTTCCTTCCATACATAAACCTTTCCTTGACTTTTTGCAATAATGGACTAATAAAATATTTGTCCTGTGATTGACTTATTTCATTCAGCATTATGTCCTCCAAGTTCATCCACATTATGTGGTGTTCTGCAGATTCTACATTATTCTTTAGGGTTGCGTAGTATTCCATTGTGTGTATGTACCATAGTTTGGTAGTTTGGTTATCCATTCTTCAGTTGATGGACACCCAGGTTGTTTCCATCTTTTTTGCTGTTGTAAATAGTGCTGCGATGAACATGGGTGTGCATATGTCTGTTCTTGTCCTGGTTCTCACTTCTTTAGCATATATATCTAGTAAAGGAATTGCTGGGTCAAATGGTATTTCTAATTCCAACTTTTTAAGGAATTGCAAGCCTTTACAGAAGCAGACTGCGTCATTTTTGTCCAGCAGAGTGGTCAGTGGGTTTGAACCATTGGCATTTTGGTTAGCAGCTGGATGCCTTAACTACTGCATCAGCAGAGCTCTTTACCTTCACTTGGCACATTCTAAGTATTTGCTAAATTGTTAGGGAGTATTATCACGTCGCAAGCAAAAGTCATATTCACCAGTGCCTTCTATGTGTGAAATGCTTTAAATGAAGTTTTTCTAATCCCTGTAAGGCCAGGATTAGATATGTTAACTGATGTGCCAAAACCCACTATACCTTATGTAAAATCATTGTTAAGTGGTAATTGTTTGCTTTCCCAAGGGGAATAAAAGTGAAAAAAAAAGCTTAGAGTTAAGAAAGACTTTTTTTTCCCCCACTTTTATTCCCCTTGGGAAAGCAAATAATTACCACTTAACAATGATTTTTCAATCAAATATTTAGTTCTGATCCTTTTCTTAAAACTCTAAATCTCTATTTTCAACTACTCTGTAGTCACCTCCCTCACCCAGTACATGAAAACGTACTCTACATTTAAGATAGCTGTTCTCAACCAGGGCAATTTGACCCCAAGGGTACATTTGGCCTCGTATGCATGTGAGAGCTGGACAGTGAATAAGGAAGACCGAAGAAGAGTTGATGCTTTTGAGTTGTGGTGCTGGCAAAGAATGCTGAAAGTACCATGGACTGCTAAAAGAACTA